ACGGACAGACGGACAGACGGACAGACGGACAGACGGACGGACGGACGGACAGCAAGACGGACATTGCACAAAACCAATATACTAATTCACTTCGTGAATGAGTATAACAATCGTTCGCGACTAGAGACAAAAAAGCACAGAGAGTGAAGAGAGAGAGAGAGAGAGAGACACACATGTGACCCTGTGGTAGGTCAGTTGACTTTAACATGAAATCCTTTAACCAATCCTTTTTCATAGCCTTTTTTTTTTAGCTAAAAGCTAATTTATAGACGATAATTTAGATTTTCCAATTTATATACATATAGTTCTATACACATATATATATTTTGTTTATATATCTATACAAACCAAAAGATTGTTGTTTTATATAATCTGATATTCTTTGCTGAAAATCTGTTTCCTTATTTATTGGACTACGTGATAAGGCCAACTGGATTTATTAACCAAGAATATGACGAACTTTGATTATAGTTTCCCATTGAGATATCTCACCTCACATATTTCAACGTTTTACTCTCACAAAAGGTTTTATTTATAAAAAAAAAAAGCTAGTAGAAGCATTCATAAAAAAAAAACTCGCATATTTAATTACATTGAAATTTAAACGCCGCTTCAACCATTAGAAATAAATCTAATTTAATATCAAAATGATTGCTTTAAATTCTGTTTTAATTTGTTGTTTGGCCTCCTTCTGTGCTTATTTGTTGTCGCTATTTAATGCTGCTTTTTTCATGCAATTTAATTAGTATTTCACTTAATTTTTATGATGGCAACGGACTCATTAACATTTTCATTTTTCAATTAACACAAACGTAATAAATTCCAAACAAAATTACAAAAAAACGAAAAAAAAAAACTACAGCAACGCAAATTTCCACAAAAGGCAAAATTGTGGAGAAAAGTTACATAGAGCAAAACGAAGGAAAAAGTTTAATTAAAAACACAAAAGTTGTTTTATTTATTTAAAACACACAACAAAACAAAACAGCAACAGAGCAATGAAAAAATATGTCTTCATTAACGACAAAACAAAAATAAAATCACAAAAAAAAAAATTGCCAACAAGTGCAGGGCAACAACAATGCAAACGACCAAAGCGCAAAAAACGGCATCATGCAAAAGCAGCGTGCAATAAATAAATACAAAAGCGAAATGCAAAAACATTTAAATTTCAATTAAAACTGAGCGCGGGACAGCGCGAAGTTGGCGGCGGCAGTAAAGCTGGGCCTAAAGTGGACACACACACACACACACACACCCACACTCTATCACTCTCTTGCTAACTCTCCTCCTTTCAGCCACTTACTCTCTTCAACTATCTCAAGCGCCGTTCCTCTGGGCGCTCTCACTCTCGCTCTGTCTGGCGCACACAATTTCAACTGCACAAATTAGAAAACTGAAAACAAAAGCGGAGTGCGTAAAAGCAAAAAGAAGAATAAAGCAGTAGGTGAAGTAATTGCGCATGCAAATAAAATGAGGCAATCTGCAGCAGCACCACCAAAGGAACGAAGCTCATTAAATATGCAATTTACCAAGATCTGAAATTATTCTCCAATAGCTCATAATTGTAAAAGCCCAAACCTACCTTTTGAAATATATGATTCGGATTGATGCCCAGTTCTGAAATATAGAATAACTTTAGATTACATGTAATACTATGTGTTGACGGAGCTTACCTTCTAGGAGTGGCGGCTCATCCTCGAATGCGTTGCCAGAAGCCGCACCGCTGGTTGCGCTGGTCTGCTTGAAGGATTTATCCTGCGCAAAGCTGGTGTCCGTGTAAGCAGTTGGATCATAAAAGCCGCCAAGACCTTGAGTAGGTGAATTGTTGTAGGTGGCATCATAGTTTGGCGGCACCGTCGGCTGTGTGTTGTCGAAAGTCTGAAAATTGCTGTAACAAACCGAAAGAGGCATCAGAAACACTTCTTGGGCAAATTTAAATGCGGTGGCGTGTCACATGAAACTTACAGTTCTTGGCCAAATTCTGGCATATCAAAATTGTAGCTGGCATCTGCTGATGGCCCGGAGGCGTAAAAATCATTCGGTCCACCAAACTGTGCCATGGTATAAACACTAAACAATATTTAAAGTTATAGTTAATTTGGAAATACAGTGCAACACGTCACTGGGAACGGCTGATTGCCATTCACCGGTAACGTTAACATATATGTTAACGATACGCCAATGCTGTTAATGTTAAACGTAGAGCAGTGCTGGAAATCGATCGAGTGGCGCGAAAATATTGAGATTTAAATGCAAGAATTGTAAATGGTTTATTTAAAGAAAACTCTGACTCTTAATAAAAAGACCTTGTATAATTTTAACATTCATAATACATTTTTATTTGCATAGCTCCATTTGTAACATGCACATAAGTTATTCCTCAATTGGGGCTACGTAATTATTGCATTTGTAAAGGTCTATAATTTAGATAGTATTATAATTTCGTATTGTATTTAACTTGTTGTAACACGCAATGGCAAAAACATTAAATAAATTGTTAGTAGTTTGTAGTTACAGTTACGTAGAGAACACAGTTAGATAACTTTACGAATTTGTTTTTACTAACAATAAATAGCAGTGAATTATAATTATGTAGGTATACATATATCAACATAGATAATTTAATAAATATATATATTATATTTTTAAATATATATATGTATATGTGTGTATATGTATATGTATGTTATTTATATGGCTGGTTTAAGTGGACAACATGCTTTCCGTTTTCCGTTTTCCTTTTTATAGTTTTATATATTATTTTGCGCTATCGGCTAATTATTGTTCGTCTTTCCTAACTCTTTCTTTCTTGTCATCTTCGTCGTCGTGTACATTGTTCATTGTTTCTTGGGTGTGCGAATCAAGTGAAACTCTACTCCTACCTGACGCAACCTTTTCTAAACTGTTTAACTTAATAATTAAATTGAATTCAAATATCTTATTACGCATTATGTATATATGACTAGCTTGATGGGGGAATTCGAATAATAAACCTAAACTTTGGTTGCTTATTTCGTTTGGTTTTTCTTTCGGCATTTTTCCTTTTTGGTATTTTGCTTTTCTTTTTGGTTTTGTTTGCCTTGTTTATGCTGCGCAAGTACACAGTCGCCTTAGAGCGATTAGTCCTCCAAATTCCTGAAGGCCTGCTGCAGATCCTCATACAGCTGATCGTAGTCTGCCTTAATCTTTTGCTCACCATCCTTCACAGGATCCTTGAGATAGTGAAAGAGAGAAATTTCTTAGTTTAGACTCCTATCTCTCAATCAATTTGAAATGCTCACCTTGAATTTCATTGAAGACAACTGATACATAATGCCACCCATTGACTCCCTGATCGTGTTCCATGTAATCTTATTGTCCGATTGGGCGGTCGACTCAACTGCATGACGCGCCGTCTCGTAAAATGCCAGAATATTTCTCAACATGCCGACAGTTTTATAGAAGGGACACACTCGATCGTACGGCGAGTAAGAGTTCTGTTGCAAGAAATCGTCCTTCAGCAGCTTGGCCACCTCCAGAGTAACCTTATCGGTCTCGGCCAGCGATGCTTTGCCCACCAACTGCACGATCTCAGACAGATCTTCCTCCTCCTGCAGAATCTCCTTGACCTTAGTACGCAACGGCACGAATTCGGGGAAGTTTTTGTCGTAGTACTCGTCCAGAGCTCGCATATATTTGGAATAGGAAATGAGCCAGTTGATGGAAGGGAAATGTTTGCGTTGAGCCAGCTTCTTGTCGAGACCCCAGAACACCTGTACAATACCCAAAGTAGCTGAAGTCACGGGATCGGAGAAATCACCACCAGGGGGTGAGACAGCGCCGACAATGGACACGGAGCCCTCACGTTCGGGATTACCCAAGCACTTGACGCGTCCAGCGCGTTCATAGAACGTGGCCAAGCGAGCGCCCAAATACGCCGGATAGCCCGAGTCGGCAGGCATCTCAGCTAGACGGCCAGATATTTCTCGCAAGGCCTCGGCCCAACGGGAGGTGGAGTCGGCCATCATGGCCACATTGTAGCCCATATCACGGAAATATTCGGAAAGCGTGATGCCAGTGTAGATGGAAGCCTCACGAGCAGCCACGGGCATGTTGGAGGTGTTGGCCACCAGAGCTGTGCGCTTCATGATGGACTCTGTGACGCCGTCAATTTCGCAAGTCAGTTCCGGGAAGTCGCGCAATACCTCAGACATCTCATTGCCTCGCTCGCCGCAGCCGACGTAGATGATGACATCGGAGTTGGAGTACTTGGACAAGGCCTGTGAATTCCATAAATGTGATTGGGGAATCTAAACTCTGGTCAATCTCTTTTAACATACCTGTGAGATGACAGTCTTGCCGCAGCCGAAGGCACCAGGGATGGCTGTGGTGCCGCCCTGGACGCAGGGGAACAGCGAATCGAGTACACGCTGGCCAGTGAATAGGGGATGATTGGCCGGCAGCTTCTCGGTGCAGGGGCGCGGCTGGCGCACAGGCCACACCTGCAACATTGTATGTTTTGTGATCTCACCATCGAATTCCGTCTCCAGCACAACGTCCTCCAGATTGTAGTTGCCCGCTGGTGCAATATAGCGTACTGTACCCTTGGCACGCGGCGCCACTATCATGCGCTGCTTGACCAATGTGTTCTCGTGCACGACGCCGTACAAGTCTCCGCCCGTGATGTGGGAGCCAACGCGTACATTCAAGGGATTGAACTCCCACATTTCGCTACGCGACAAGGCGGGCGTGTTCACACCCTTGGGTATATATATGGAGCTGGTCATGATTCCAATGTCCCGCAGCGGACGCTGAATACCATCAAAGATGCTGCCCATGATGCCAGGGCCCAGCTCCACGGACAAGGGCTTACCCGTTCGCAGCACCGGATCACCGACAGTGACACCTGAGGTTTCCTCGTACACCTGAATGGTGGCCATGTCGCCCTCCAGGCGAATGATTTCGCCAACCAGCTCATAGTAGCCTACACGTACCAACTCGTACATAGCAGAGCCCGACATACATTCTGCCGTAACGACTAAAGGAGTGGGTGGGGAGTAGAAAATAATATAGATGTAGATAGGGCGGGTCAGCAGGTGAAGGACAAAGGTGACGTCTTACCCGGACCAGAGACAGCGTACACGCGACCGTATTCGGACTCGCGGTCCTCGTCTTTGAATTTCCTCAGGTTAGACATGTTTGAGGTGAGTTCGGTTCAACTGCAACGGTCGAAATTCGTTCGCTAATCGTCCATACAAAAAAACAATAGCAAAAGTATTTTTTTATTTTATTTTCTTTTTTCATTATAAACAAACACACATTTTGCACGCTTGTTTTTGTGACAGAAATGATGAGAGGAAAAAAAAACTAGATGGCGCTGCTGTGGGCAGTTGCCAAGCAGCCCCCAGTGAAAGCTTCAAACCCCCGCAGCAGCAGCAGTAGCCAACGATCGATTTTTCCACACAAAATTTCACATTTGCCACCCACAGTTAACATGAGCAGTTTTCATTTTGTAATTTAACTGTAATTATTATCACTACGTAAAGCCTTGCATATTTCTAGGCTCTTTAAAGTATTCATTACTCCCTTTTTTAACGGCAGTTCATAAATTTAGTTAGTTGGAAAATCGCTTTTACTCACATTTGTTTTAGCTCTTATGAAAATTCTCAGCAGACTGAGTTTCTATTTTAATCTAGATTGGCAGCGCCTCAAGTTTTCCAATACATTAGGAAAATTCTGATCGACTATATCATATAAATGTTAATCGATAGTCGATACTTATGGTCAGCACTGGCACAGAATGCTAGAATAATTCAAAATCAAAATTTATGCATCTAAAATTGATTTATATTACCTTAATTTGTATATAATTAAATTAAGTACTTGAAGAGCAACACTATATGTATATTTTAGCTAATTGAATTATTTAGCTGTATTGAACAAATTGTTCAAATTCAATTGTAATTTTGAGGTAAATGAACCGTTTTTATATATACAATCAAGGACTTTATGAACTTTAAGCTATTATAGGCTAAATACGTTTATAATATAGTTTAATATTTTTATAAATGAATCGCGCGACGTAACGCATTTTTCATACGTGTAGAAACACCCTAAATATGAACTGCTATCGAAGCTGCGAACTATCGATATATAGATATATATCGGACATTTGGAGCTAGTTAAACAGTCATTCACATCTCTACTACCTTCTCGGCTGCAAAACAAACTTCTCGCGAAAACAGGGGGTCAAGTGGATTTCAGAACGAGATATATGTTTAAAAGTACATCCATAAAGATTGTCGCACTACAACGCATAACACAAACATGTGAAAGTGTCGAACGCAAACTATACAATATTGCGTGACGTGCCCAGACAGATTCAGACTCCGGGCAAACAAATTATAACCTCAAAGTCTCGACTGGACGTGGGTGCACCTGCTTGAGTATTGCAGGCGCTTGGGGAATTCCCCAGACCCTAGAAACTATTGAACGTAAACATGTCAACATCTTCGATTGTGCAGCAGTTCGTCAACGGGCTGAAGTCCCGCAACCGCAATGTTCAAAACAAGGCGGCGCAGGATCTATTCCTGTATGTCAAAACCGAACTGCGCGAAATGTCGCAGGAGGAGTTGGTGCAGTTCTTCGATGACTTCGACCATCATATTTTTAACATGGTCAATGCAGCGGATATCAATGAAAAAAAGGGTGGTGCCCTGGCCATGAGTGAGTAAATAAATCCTGTGAAATATTATGAGCTATGGCCTCAGTTCATGCTCTCTTCTTTTTTTTTTTCAGAGTGCCTCATAAGTGGTGATGCTTTGATAACTCGCAAAGGCATCTCACCTTACCTCAATCGTTTACGCGATCTGCTGCTTATCAACGATGTCTCAGTGATGGAAATTGCGGCTCGCTCGCTGGTGAAGCTGGCCAATATGCCAGGGTCAAAGGGCGCCGAATCATTCGATTTTGATATAAAGAAGGCATTTGAAATGCTTAGTGGCGATCGACAGGAGGTGCGTAGCGATTAACATATATATAATTATTGTAATAATAATTTAATTGAATATTCCTTTGTTTTTTACAGTATCGCCGTCACGCGGCTGTTTTCATTTTACGTGAGCTGGCTATTGCGTTGCCCACGTATTTTTATCAGCAAATT